TGCGTGTGTACATAAGAGTATAAAAAAAAAAAAAATTAATAATAATGCAACAAAAATCTGTTGAATTGCAGAAAGAAAAAAAAAAAAAAAAAAAAAAAAAACTACAATTATGAGCCCAAGTACGTGGGTGAGCCAATTATTTCCGATGTAAACTTTAATTTTTTTTTTTTAGGCACTTTGCTGCGTGAATTAACGAAGTATATTATATATTTGATGAAAAGTCAGTTGACGAGGAATCGATGCCATTGCGATACTCGCGCGCCTTCTTATCAGCGCACACGTAGGTATAACGGTGCGAGTGTCTTATTTGATGTAGCGAGATAGCGCGAAGGTAAAGTTGAGCAATAATACGAAACGTTGTGCAGCGTCGTCGCGGTACTTTTATTGTTTTATATATACATATCTCGCCCAATCGGCGTCTCTCTCGCAGCGATAGCCGAGTGAGAAAACTGTTGAAAAAGACAATAATATAATTATATATAATGTACAAGGAGGGTCTCAATATACAAGTAAACGCTATACACGGGGCGTATACTATGGCGAACAAATAAATTCCCCGTAAATTACAATCATATTACATATTTATTTATGACTACATGTACGTCGGATCCTATACTTATAACAAGTATTTCAATGACGCGTTGCTCAACCACGCGTTCGGATAGTATAGCCGCGTGCCTTTGATATTATACTCCGCGCGGTCCCTTCTCCCCCGTGACAATTACACCCCCATGCCTCATTGTTATGTGTGTACTCCNATGTCTCCCTAACTGATCTCCCCTTACCTCTCCCCGCGAGCCGAGCCTACAAGCCGCCAGCCAATAGAAAACATGTGCACGGTTCCTCTGCTGGCCACGATGGATTGGCGCTCAAATCAGCGCCGAAACATCGGCACACTCTTTAACATATGCACTGGCAATCTCCCTACTTATCTCTGCTATATTTATGCTCTCTTCTCCTACCAGCTCCACTCTTAGAGACGACTATAACTATATACACGGCAGGGGGCTAGCCAATCATCGGAGTGTAAGAGAGAGAAAGCATATCCTGCTTTACGGGCCCTTTCCTCTCTTTGCTAGTCTCGCGGCCGAAGCATTGTATGCAGTGTTGGGTGAGGAGGATACGATTTTGCATTTTTATCACTAGGACCTATATATAGCTACAGATCCTAGTGAGAAAAATGCAAAAGCTGAATAGGAGAGGGGAGGAGGCCAGTGGTTCTCCCCGAATGTGACTAGCAAACTTGTGGGAAAATCAAATATGCAATGTATTGCAAGACGCAAATACCCAGATAACTCGACACAATTACATGCACAATAAATTAATAAACTAATCCCAAGCAATTTAACCCAATAACCCAATGGGCCAATAAGCAGCCTCATGAGTTTGAATAAATAATAAAATTTATTAATTAACAAAGCAAGCGCCAATCCCCACACGACCCAAGGCACTTACTGGTTGCCTTAATTATTTATGATTAATAAAATAATAACGCAAGCACCTATCCCCCAGGAAACCAGGGGAACTAACTGGTTGCTTTGATTATTTATTATTAATAAAATAATACCGCAGGCGCCTATCCCCACACGACCCAAGGCTCTCACTGGTTGCTTTAATTATTTATTATTAATAAAATAATACCGCAAGCGCCTATCCCCACACAACCAGGGGAGCTTACTGGTTGCTTTAATTATTTATGATGAATAAAATAATANTGGAGATAGGTGTCTGCGATATTATTTCATTTATAGTAATTCAAGAAAGCAATCAGTAAGTGCCCCTGGTTGTGTGGGGATAGGCGCTTGCGGTATTATTTTATTAATAATAAATAATTAAAGCAACCAGTGAGAGCCTTGGGTCGTGTGGGGATAGGCGCCTGCGGTATTATTTTATTAATAATAAATAATCAAAGCAACCAGTTAGTTCCCCTGGTTTCCTGGGGGATAGGTGCTTGCGTTATTATTTTATTAATCATAAATAATTAAGGCAACCAGTAAGTGCCTTGGGTCGTGTGGGGATTGGCGCTTGCTTTGTTAATTAATAAATTTTATTATTTATTCAAACTCATGAGGCTGCTTATTGGCCCATTGGGTTATTGGGTTAAATTGCTTGGGATTAGTTTATTAATTTATTGTGCATGTAATTGTGTCGAGTTATCTGGGTATTTGCGTCTTGCAATACATTGCATATTTGATTTTCCCACAAGTTTGCTAGTCACATTCGGGGAGAACCACTGGCCTCCTCCCCCCACCTATTTAGCTTTTGCATTTTTCTCACTAGGATCTGTAGCTATATATAGGTCCTAGTGATAAAAATGCAAAATCATATCCTCCTCACCCATTACTGATTGTATGCTCCCTCCAGGTATTCGCTACGTGCACAATTTTGAAGCAGCGCCATCCTAGGGAAAAACAAGAACTATTGGTCTGGCATAGCAGAAGGCAATATTCGCGATTTGTGCTTGATACCTATAGGAACACAGTACCTCAATAGATACACAAAAGGTTCTGTGTTTATTATATCACGAATTAATACAATGTCTCAAGTGGTACAATCCTATGAGAATAACTAAAGACAAAATTTGTACTACAAGCACTGTAAGCGCTTGAGTATTACTTCAACACAAGTCCGTGTACTGTGTGATACGAGATATGTTTTACTAGTTTGCAATGTAGTCAACACAGACCTCCTCTGACCAATCAGAGAGCTCCGTTAGCCCTATACCGGCGTGTTCACACGGTATGTACAGGTACACACGTTCATACGATACGCTTTGAGGATCAGAATCAGACCCCAGCTAAAAACTCTAAGAAATACACAGTATCCAATGTATTTCACTGCGTTTTTTAATGAACATGCATGAGTAAAATATGTACATACTACTCATAATTTTATTAAAAATTTAATCCTCACAATGGTTGTCGATGTATAAACACACAACTTTCTGATGATAGTAATGCTTAGCACTCTGCTGGCAGAAGACAAACCTATCGTTTAGTTACACATATTAGCACAGGTATTGCTGCGATCGCTTTTTCAGCTTGTGCACGTAGCGAATATATGCTCTAAGTTCATGATAGACTAAGAGCTGAAACCTGAGGCCCGAGGGTAGTGTAAAAATCTAAACCGAAACAATTACTAAAACTTAAAAGCTGTATGATTCGTAGAGATCCGTATTATATTAATCATACTTGATTCTGGTAAAGTTATTTAGTAGTTAAAGCAGTGTCATGTAGTTAAGTTCATAAACCAACCGCAAGTTCAACCAAACGATAGATAATAAGAAGTTTAATAGATATATGTAATTTTGTTATGTGGCAAAATTTAAATTTATTTTTTATTGAAAAAATAACCACACATTAATTTATGTAATAGTCGAATTTGACTTCTGGCGAAGGTGGTGGCTGGTTTAGATTTTTGACCACTCTCGGATCTTAGTTCTTATAATGAATCGAGATGATGCGTAAATGAAACACATGTCTATGAAACAAAGTAGTGGCCAATAAGAGTTTTTGGATTAGGTACCAATCGTTAAAAGTTTTTACATGATAGATATTTTTTAAATATAATGAAAAAGATTTTTTCTTCAACGTATATCGTTGCATGAAGCAAACAACTGATTTTTTCATACAAAAACACGCAGGGACTTCAAAAATTAAGATTGTTTCGTCTTTTCTAAGCCAAGTTCGTTACAAAAACACCTGGTTGACTGGGTACGTTTTTTTAAGTCGGTCGATAGATCGGTTGGTCCAATTGCTTAGGAAAGTATACCTATATTTAATTCGTATACAGATGTACAACGTTCAAGAGGAATCGGATTGACCGACCGACCGATCGACTACAAAAAAACTTACCGACTATTTCTTCGACGCAGTCGATTAAGGTTGGTCTGCACCATGGTGTAAGAATAGACATTCTATGTTCTAGAATGTCTATTCTTACACCATGGTCTGCACAAATAGCACTGATGGGCTGCGGGTACATGGCTGCAAAATTAGCCAATGGAACGTCACTGCTTCAGAAAAAAGGTTCCTCTGCCATTGGATTCATAGACATATAAGGAAAATAGACTGCTTGTTTTTATCTACAGCGCTGAAGCACAAGTAGAAGGAGACACAACATTGAATGTGGGTATCTATCTCTCTTGCACATTTCCACCTTTATTAATGTGCGAGAGATACAGATATCCATGTTCGATGTTGTGTCTTCTTCTACTTGTGCTTCAGCGCCGTACACAAGAACAAGAAGTCTATTTTTTTTATGTCTATGATTTGATTAGCAAGTGACGCTTTCGTTTCCGTTAGACAAAAAGTGCATCGTGCACAGGAATGCGGAACTCGACATAACGCATCGACGAATGTCAACGAAATATTAATTTAACATAATAACGATCATGTTTTTTTTATGCTTTCACGTGTTATTGTACTGATAGCAGTGTTAGCTGTTAGTAAATGCCAAGACATGACAGCCATCTGGTTACAATTTTTATTTAATACGCAATATCAAACTATTCCTGCTTGAACTTTTCATGACCATTGGCTGCTACTCGGATGCAAGGTACTGTTCCGCGTCCATGTGCATGATGCACTTTTTGTCTAACGGAAACGGAAGCGTTACTTGCTAATTCGATGGTAGGGGAACCTTTTTTTCTGACGCTGTGTGTTCCGTTGTCTTTTTCCGCCCCACGTAACTGTGGCCTGAGAAAGGGTGGGGGAACTTTTTTTTTGCCGCAAGCCGCACTTTATAGCTCTTTACTGCAGACATAAATTGGTTGCTTTGCAAAATATGCAGAAATGTTGCGTAGTAAACGAAGGCTAGTTAGTTACCTTAGCAATTTTTTCAGCAAATATCATTTTGTGCTTCTCATTAAACCGCGGAGTAACTTTATTCACGAGCTTTCCCATCCACAAATGGAAACTGTTAAAAAGTTTTCGGTGGTTGACAACTCTAAGCTATCTGAGAAACAACTTAAACAACAAAGTGAGACTTGTGTAGAAAAACCCAAAGCTACGCAGCAAAACCTTGCAACCACATTGCCGATCTACTATAAAATATCACAGCCACAGATGCAAAATAAATCGGTAAGAAAATTCTTTTATCATTGCATTCGAATCATTATCTTTTTTTTATTTTTACTTTTTTATTCATGATATGTAATTATGCTATTATGTAGTTTCAATAGTATATTTTTCGTTTGCACATACAGCATTATTTTTTTAGGACAATTTGACCTCAGTGAGCCCATTGAAAAAAGAAATACACTATTATGTACCTCAGATTCTGATCGATTTGATACCAAAGTTAAGCATCAAAACTAAAGATGTATTTTTACCTACTGTACAAAAGTGGAACAGTAGTTTGTCTAAAAGTATTTCAAAAAATTCTATTGTATCAAGAACGAGGCATATTTTGAATAGTATTGTCACTGCTGAATCAAATTCTTCCAGGTGGAAAAGAATAGAGGATCTGTTACAGCTTATTGATCAGTTTCCTGAAGCTAAACATCAGGCTGTAAAAGACGGTGCTGTCAGTATTTTACTTCAAACTCGAAAAGTGACCAAAGATGAAAATATCCAAGGTATGGTGCTTGTGTCTTAGCAATACATCATGTTTTCGACATTAAATAACTTATCTTGCATTTTTAGAATCTCTTCGAGAAGCACTTGCTGTACTAGGCTACATAGACCCTTTACCTGCTCGTGGTATAAGAATTCTGGCTATTGATGGTGGCGGTATTCGTGGTGTTGTAGTTATAGAAATGTTGAAAAAGTTAGAACAACTGACAGGCAAAAAAATACATAAAATTTTTGACTATGTTTGTGGAGTTAGCACAGGTGCCATTTTATCAGCTGTACTGGGTATGTTGTAAAATATTAGTTTCTCTTAATAATGATTAGAACATATTCTGAGCCATAACTGATCATTGTTTGTGCAGTTAAAGAACAATAGAACGTATGTACATATTAAGGGGGTTTGACTAAGCCTATTGCTTCGAAAATGACACAGTACCCTCTGCACATGGTTAAAGCTGGCATTCTGAAGGTACAGAAACGTATCTTTTTGTATGGAGTAATCAAAAATACAAGCTCCCTGAGAAAATATACTATTTATAATAACATTCCGAGAAAAAAAAGAGAATCCCGACTGACCGATTACAAATTTGCTTGCCATACAAGTACGATGTGTGTAGAGCAGACGAAATTACTATACTTAGGTACTTCTAATATCAATTAATTGATGATAGCAGAGATTAGTAGAGAGATTGCTGACTGCAATGCTCAGCGTTGGGTTAGGCGGATTCAATATCGAAACTTTTTCCCTAGATAGTATATATAGCTACACGATCTAGAGAGAATGTTCCGTCGAGCAAATAGCACAGCAGTGAAGGGGCATTGCCAAAGACGCGCGAAAATCAAAAATTGTAATATTAATAACACAAGTGCCTATCACCCAATGACCCGGGGCGCTTACTGGCCTCTCTATTAAATAATAAAGTATTAATTAATAGCACAAGCGCCTATCACCCGATGACCCGGGGCGCTTACTGGTCGCTTTATTGAATAATAAAGTACTAATTAATAGTATAAGCGCCTATCACCCGATGACCTGGGTGTCTACTGGCCTTTCTATTAAATAATAAAATATTAATTAACAGCACAAGCACCTATCTCCTGACGACCGTTGTGCTATTAATTAATAATATATTTCGTTCAATAAAGCGACGAGTAAGCGCCCAGGGTCACTAGGTGATAGGCGTTTGTGTTAATAATTAATACTTTATTATTTAATAGAGAGGTCAGTTAGCGCCCCTGGTCATTGGGTGATAGGTGTTTGTGTTAATAATTAATATTTCATTATTTAATAGAGAGGCCAGTAAGCGCCCTGGGTCATCGGGTTATGGCATTTGTGTTAATAATTTATGGTTTATTATTTAATAGAGAGGTTAGTTAGCGCCCGAGGTCATTGGGAGATAGGCGTTTGTGTTTATAATTAATGTTTTATTATTTAATAGAGAGGCCAGTAAGCGCCCTGGGTCATCGGGTGATAGGCGCTTGTGTTAATAATTAATACTTTATTATTTAATAGAGAGGTTAGTTAGCGCCCCTGGTCATTGGGTGATAGGTGTTTGTGTTAATAATTAATATTTTATTATTTAATAGAGCGACCAGTGAGCTCCCCCGGTCATTAGATGATAGGCGCTTATGTTATTAATATTACAATTTAGGGAATTATACGATCTAGGGAAAAAGTTCCGATATTGAATCCGCCTAACCCAAAGCTGGCAATGCTACGGCGCGAGCTCACTTTTGGCCACTGTTTCGAGCGCCCCGTCGCGGCCAAGCGGTCGAACCAGGCACACATATTTCCTTTTTTTTTTTAGAAGCATGTCGGGGGTATACCGAGTGTGTGCCTACGGATTCGTGTGGAAATGGGATGTGCAGGCACATACTTTGGAGATTCACGCTGAGTGTGCGCTTGCCGAGTCGCGTGGAAATGGGCATGTAGGCACACATTATGAAGACGCATAGAAGGGGTGTGACGTATGGCAAAATAGTGAGCCTGTAAAGAGGAGAGAAGTGTGCTTCTCCGCTTCTGACTGTTACTACATATAAGTATATATGTATAATGCAGCTGAGCGGAGCGAATGTGTGCGATGAGCGAGGAGATCAGTGTATGTTTATGCTATTATCGTATTCTAGTACACCGATACGCTTCAACCTGATATGATAAATATGGATGCTTTTTTCCTTTTCAGATTTTTATGTTAACGCGTCGTAATAACCATTAACTATAGCCTAAGCTTTGGAGGTTCTCCATGAAAATATGCCACTTCTAAACTACTATAGGCATGTTGCATCGATAGCCGAGGTAGCTAATGCTCCCGTNCTCTTTCAATAATTATTAATATAACATGCCTCATGCTACTTTATAAAAGGTAAGTACAAAGACAATTTTACCTAGGTATTTTCATTCAACAATCATAAAATAATCAGCCATACCTTTAGTTTCTGTCAGACAAATGTAATGATCCAGTGCGTAAGCTTTTCACTATTTTAATTACTCATTCTAGAGAAATCAAACAATTTAAATTTTCTATAAATTTACATTCCTTTTGATATCGCTCAATGATTCAGAAAGCTTATGAAACATTAGATTTATTACAGTTCATTGCAAGATCTCGAAATGGTCGAAATGAAAATTCAAGACAACGCAAAATAAAGTTGTATAAAAATAATGGCTCTCAAAACATTAATAGATAAGATATTAAGTGATTGCAAAATGCGTGCTGTATTAGCCGTCAAAATTTTTTTGACTAATCCACAAGATGTATGACCTTATAACAAAGTGGCAGTCGTTTTTCAGAAATTTGGTACAGTAGGGTATCTGTCCCAATTATAGACTCTGTCCCTATCGTGGACCCATTATCACATTATTAATGATAAGTTGAACGAGTGTTTCAATAGCACAATGAATTATTTGTAAAGTTGTTATTTTCTCTCTAATTCACCATAATAATGAAAAATAATAGCATTTAAATAATGTTATATCATTAAAATGATATATTAAAAAGTTACACAACGCTTTTGACTATTTTCTTCCTCATGCCTTGTTGAAAACGATAAGATACTAATATTTTTGAAATGCTGTATAAAAAATTAGGAGTAATATTTGAACTCAAAAAATTGTTTGATATATCAATAACAGTTTCAGAAAAATAATAAAAACAAATTATACTCCTAAAAAGTTTATTTCTATACATTATTAGAGGGTCCACAATACAGCCATGATTATCGGCTCTGTCTCTATTATGGACCCTTTATTCCGCCAGTATTGAGTGAACACATAACCTTCAACTCCATAACTTCGAGCTGTTGTTTTTATTCTAAAAGTAAAGAAAGAACAACAAAAAATGCCTCTTAAAAAACGCACCAAGAAGACTAAACAACCATTACAAAGTCATAAAAAATATAAGATTATTATAATAAAAAAAAGTAATAGTAATTATCACAAAATTAGTTTTATATAAAATTTTGTTCTTAAAAACTTATATCAAAAAGTGCCTAGTCATATATTTTGTTAAAAGTGTGAGAAGTACTTATAAATGAATCTCAAATGTTTCTTTAATTACATACAAATATTTTTTTACATTATGGGCAGGGTCCGTAATAGGGGGGTCCACGATAGGTTCAAAGTCCATCGAGGGGGTCCGTAATACGGACAAAATTTTTTTTTCTTGTTTCATCATTAAAATAAAATTAACAAAACTTTTTGATGAAAAAAAAATATGATGTTGTTAAAAAAGAATCAAACGACTTATACGTTATTATACAAGGTGTAGTTCTATTGACCGTTAGACACAAAATAAAGTTGAGCTCGAAATTTTTCTTAAAGGGTCCATAATGAAAACTTGTTTGTACACTGGCACTTTATCTCCTAATATTGTGATCAACAAATTGAAAGTAATAATGTGAGGCCAAGTCATGATAGTCATACTATGTAGGATCATTCTTTGTACAAAAGTTATATGATTTATTTATTTACTTATTTATAGAAGTTGTGGGCCCAATACCAATCAAATAACAGTGTGTTGCTGAGTGCAGCACATAAACAAATGTACAGCAGCGTAGTATAATAGTTATGTCATAAAAATGACTAAGTTGTAAGTTATAAAGAATTTTATGTAATAAAGTAACTTACATAAATGAACAGTGTGTGTACATGCTTAGTAATTGAAAGTTACATACAGTATTGAAATCAAGCGACTGTTAATAATATCAAATATTAAAAATTNGCACATAGTGATAGAAATTTCTGTAGTAATTTTGACACATTTAAGAGCTAAGAATTATAAATCATTATCTGAAAATAGAAAAACAAATTTTTTTGACTTTGTTCTAAGGGCCTGAATCTTTGATCAGTCCATATTATCAAGACATGTCTGTATATTTAATCGTAATGGGCTGGTTTCTAGCATCAGGTGGCGCTCCTGTGCTCATGTAAGATTTCCACAGGAGTATATCTATATATTGCATGAAATCCAATTGAAATCCATTCAATACATAGGTATACATACTACTATGGAAATCTTACTTGGGCACACTAACACTACCTGATTCCAGAAACAAGCCCAGTATCGAGACGAATTTTCTTTTAATCAATCATTACAACTTTAAAGTATACAAGTAATATGTTTATAAACTAAATCTTACATAAATTCATGTATTTAAATAAATCACAAAATAATTGAAGACGTAATTAGTTTCTTGATAAAACAAGGGATAGAAGCTCTAATTAATCAAGGAATAAAAGCTCTAATTATTGTTTCTTTGAATACTACATAATTTACCGAATACAACGATTAAAGTATGAGAAATTTTTATGTTTCATTAAACGGGTTACTAAGGGTTTTGATATATTAATGATTTTAAAAAATGTGCGCTCACAATCTACAACATCTTAAATACTAATATTATTATAATTTAAACGGTCGTAATAGAGACAGACTCGATAATGGGACTATCTACCCCTGTTAATTTACATTTAATACATCTAAAAATAGCCTAATGCCGAAGTAACATCACCAGGGATATATTTAACGCTGTACATTTAAATATCTTCCGAAAAAATAATAATTTAAACGTTTTTTACAATAAGCATTTTACGGCTATTAGTTTTTATGTATTTTTTCGCCTCTGCTTTCCGTTTTTAATTGTTCTCCCGAGTAGTTTTGAAAACTTTCACTTTCAACAAAATTTTTAAGGCTTCTACTCGATGTTCATAACACGCATTATTCTTATCAAACCACTGAGGAAAGTGCTCGTTAGTTATTTTTTCCACTACATCTGTCAAAGAAGTA